CTAGGAAGCCCTAGAGAATCCCGAGCCGAAATGCGACGTCACACAAATCGTAGCCCTTCCCCGGACCTTCCCCGACAGGGTTCAGGGTTTAGGGCTTTATGTTTTAATGGGGTTCCTTGTAAGAGTTCCTGGAGGGTCTTGCAGGATGTTTGCAGGGTTGTACTGTTGGGATCTTACTATAGCAGAATGCTACAGGGGCGAGGACTCTGAGAAGATGCTATTGAATACCTTAGTGGAAGCCCCTATGAACACCAGTGCAGGGTCTTAATTTGTAGGGATCCCAACTCCTAAGCATTAGGCAAAAACCTTTTTGGGTGGCATATTATAGTACATGTCGCAGGGACTCTAAAGACTAAAGAAAATGGTAGTGCTAATCTACCTGCCATGGAAGCCTTATGAACAGAACTGGAGGTTGTTAATTTGTTAGCATCCCTAGTCCTAGACCGTAGGCCATAAGCCATCCCAAAACGCGAACCCAAAACCTGAAGGACACCCCTAAACCCTAAACCCTGAACCCAAACACCCTGACCCCTGCACCTTCAAGCCCTAAATGCGTGCCCATACATAGGAGCAAGGCTCATGTTTTTGGGTCTCGTTCAGTGAAAGGTGCTAGGGAGTGGGAGGTCCCTGGCCCGCGGGTTTAAGGCGCAAGGGTTTGTGTTTACGGTTTATAAAGTTCAGGGATTAGGAATTATAGGGTTTATAGGGTTTAGGGGCCTTTGGGCTGCGGATTTCTTGAGGGTGCTGAGGATTCTGGGGGTTGAGTCCTTGAACGCTTGCAAGTTGAGTCCTATGTCGGGTGATCTGTACTTCTGGTGAGTCTCAAACTCTCGATGGGATTTCTGGCGCTTATAACTGGAGGAGATGATGAAGTGCCGGCCTTCTGTTCTGGAAATCCTTAGTTCAGGGTTTAGGTTTTAGGGTTCAGGGTTGCGGGAGAGAAGGACTTCGGGGGCATCCCAAGCCCTACTGCTTTATAGGGCCTGTACCCGAGAATAAGGAGGTCTCTACCTGCGCTGTTGCAGGGTTTGCGGTTACAGGTTATGGCAATTCTACGATCTGCAACTTTGTGCCGCACCCTCAACTATGAATTGTAACCCATCCCTGGAAAAGGCGTGGATCTGCAGACGACCACTTGAAGGGTTGGGAACCAATTCTGGGAAGCAGGCTTGGGGAGCTTTCGGAACTTCATCGTGATTCCATTTTTCGGGTACCATGTCGGGCTGGGTTAAGGTTGCCGCATGAAGTTCAGGCTCAGGAATTCAAGTGGGTGCCCAGGATTTGGTGTACCATGTAAAGGCTATCAATAGACCAGCTACACATCCATGTTAACGTTCAAAGAAGTAGAGTAGTACAGTCTTCAATTCAAACCACCTCACCCAAGACTCCAAGCCCTGAAGAAAACCACAGTCCGAGACTTTCGAGGAATAAGAAACGTTCTCATACAACGAAGGACGGCTTTCCCCAAACTTCCAAGGTGTTCACTACGGCCTAGAACACAGGTTGCAGCTTGGTGAGGACCGAATTCCTGAGGACCGCACTCGAGCCATGGAAACTGGGCCATGCCTTGGAATGCCAAGCCAATGTTCTCACATGCACGGCTGTGCTCTGCGAAGCGGCGGCTCAAATGCATACGTCTCGCAACCACCGTACCGGTATGGCATCATTTTCGCAAAACTTTCTCGGTGCAGTGAACCGCCCAGCAAAACGCGACCAAAACGCTGCTAACTTCCGGCATACCATGCAAGAAGCTGCAGACTGTGCAGGCGCTGCGGCTCTACAAGCTATACTATTTCCATGTCGGGCTCCTCCGCATCAGATCAAGATGGCATGTTGATCACTCGATCTTGGTGCTCAGCGCTGGCTGCTGGAGTGGGGAGAAGATTAACGGTGCAAAGACCATGAGCAGCAGGGCGACCATTGGCTTCCAGGAGGAATGGTAGAAATGCCAGGCACCGAGTAAAAGATTCGCGGCCAACGAGAGCAGCGCCAACGTGAAGCTGAGCGACGGCGGCGCGAGCCTTCCAAGCTGAGCGATGGACAGCAACGCAAAGATGGCAAACTGCAAGAGAAGTGCAAAGTCGATAGCATCGCCTAGAAAGTTCAATCCGATGGTCTCCTTGAACATGGTCAACAGCATGATCATGCCGAACGTCGCCATGTCGGAGTGGAAGAAGCCGCGATTCATGAACGCAAGCGGGCCACCGGGGGCCGTCATTTGGTTCAAGTTGCTGATCACGACCAAAGAATTCTCCATAACGTTGTTGGCTACCGATGACAGAACTGTTGCCGAAACAGCTCTGAGCACTGTGTCTGGCAAGATGCCCCGAAGGCCGTCGAATCCGGTGTTGAAGTTTCTGATGGCTGCGGGACTGGCTACGAGCAGCACTGATGTAGACATGGCAACATAGACACACATCGTCAACACACACGCCAAGACAATTCCCAACGGCAAGTCTCGGGCAGGGTTGCTCACGAGGCCTCCGGCTTGGATCATGCCCGGGAAACCTCCATAGGCAAATACTGCCACATGAATCCCCGAAGGGAAACTCTCCCACTGTGTCTCCGCTGCGCGATGTTTGCTGTGAAGAGCACCCCTCTCATACGGAAGGCCAGCCACAGCACCACCAACAGCCCGAGAGCCACAAGCTTCTCAAGTGCCGTCGTCCACTCGCCCACAAACCCTTCAAGAAGAGTGCTTGAAGCAGCGCGTCCGAAGAAGGAAACTTGCATGGTGACGGCGAAGAGCAGCTCGATGGAGATTAGCTGACCGTTGATGAAAGAGATCCAGCCGCCCCAATGCCTGCCAAATCCGTTCTCAGCAGCCCGATGCAGGCAATCGTCGGATGGGTACTTCGCATAAAGATGGAGCAGCGGCAATGCAGACAGGGTCACAAGCAATCCTGACAACAAAAAGTTGGCCCACAGTAGATTGCCACAGCCTTTGTCCGCAAGTCCTATCAGCGTTTGATGTGTGCCCGTGCCGATCATGTTGCCTGCCGTGTACAGCGCCATGCCCACGGAGGAGAACCTATGTGCCATCTCTTCACGTCCTGACAGAGTGAGGTGTAGCAATACTTGGCGTAACCTACCGTCTTCCAGGACTGCTTGAGAAGGAAAGGCGGTCCAAGCTGGAGGCATACGTGCAGGAACAGTAAATCGTCAGGGAAAGCTCCACAAGTAGAAAGCCCTGCGACTTTGGTCAGCCTGCAAGCAACACACACCAAGAAGACGCGGCAATTGAACACACCAACCTTCCAATTCCAGGTCGCTCATAAACTTACAGTCCCCTCCATAGGCCACACCCCAAATCCTTTGTTCACCTGCTAGGGCTGCTAGGGCACGCGCGTGCCAGGTGAGCAGACAAAGCATGATGGCTCCAGGGGCGTTTGGACCGTTGCATGTGACAAGATCTTGCAGCCTTTCTTTTGAAGGGAGGCTCCATGGCATGGGGTGCTAGGATGTGATAGGCTTTGAAGGTTGAGAGTTGCCTCTAAAGTATCAGGGCTCAGTCTTTCAACTTGAAGGACTTCGACATTGATTAAACCCTAAACTCCTAAACCCTAAACCCGTAAGGTTTGAGCTGCATTTTACGGGCCCACGACCTTCCAGGCTCAGGGCCTATAAACACTTTCGAGACCCCGCTGAATCCGAAAACACCCTCAATCCCAAAGCCCCATAGGGGTTTAGGGGTTGAGGGTTTCGGGTTTAGGAAATATAACTCCTAAACCCGAAACCCCTAACCCCTAAACCCCTTAACCGTAGATCTTGAACCCTGCAGCTGCAGGGTAAACCCCAACACTGAGACCGTGCATTGGGGCCTAGGGCTTTAGGTTTAGGGTTTGGGCTTATGTTTCAGGCTTCAGGGTTTAGGGTTAAGGCTTGGGCTTTGGGTTCGAAGCTCAAGGTTGTTCTAGCAATATGTCATGATCTCTTACATTGCATCATGGCGCTCTTTTGATTCTTCACCTTTCTTGGAGTAATCTCTATAATTAGACTACAACGGAAAACCTGAGAGGCTCTTATGTTCTGATGTTCTTTTAGGGTTTAGGGTTTAGGGGTTTAGAGTCTTGCTCACTTATAGGTGGCGTAGTGTCTGCGCTGACAACAACTGAACAGGTAGCAAGTAAGTCAGAAGCAGCCTTGTAGGTACGCTTACCGAGCTTTCTCTGCCTCAAAGCTTGCAAGCTCTACTCAACTCTAAGGAGTATGACCTATTTACGAACCGGGCTTACGGTTAACCCACCAATAAACCCTGAACCCCGCCAAAACTTCAAACTACAACTTCAGCGTCTCAAACTCTAAAGCTGAAACTACCAAATCCATATCTCGGAGTCCGGTTACCCAGTTCTCCGTGTACATGTGTAGTTTTCTATATTGGGGCCCCGCTTTTTCCGTCCCCAAGATAGTATGGCACCCTTGAAAGAAGAAGCCCTTACTTAGAGAACTTCCCGCATAAAACCCTTACAGTACCCTTATAGAAACCCTCTAGAAACCCTTATAGGTCCGCTTAAGGAGCCCGAAAAGGGGCCCTTGACTTAGATAACTACCCATATACTGGGTTGCTGTTCATGAAATTACTCTAGTAGGACAGCCCGTTATATACTATATATCTCCATTACAGTAACTTAAACTAAGTTCCTCAACGTCCTTTTAACCCGTTCTCCATGCAGAGTTTTTTCCTGTTTTTTTTGCTGGATTTCCGAGGATTTCATATATGGGCCTTACTCGAATACAACTATATCGAGACAGCAGGGGGCCATTAAGACTGCAACTCCTAATCCGACGCCCGAAACCCTAAGTCCTGAACCATGTCTCTAAATCCTCTCTAGTCCGTGAGGAGCCCTAGCATGTAACATAGGGGCCTTAATAACTAGAATAGGGTTTTGGGGGCTCCTTGTTACAATTATGGTATAATATACCCATAAGTATAGACTAATTATTAAGGTCCCTATATTACAGACCTGCAACTTCGAGCAGACGTTTTTTGGCGCATGCGGCTACCAGGACGTGTAAGCGGAGTGTCTGTAGCCACCTGACACTGGTTGGCTTAGGGTTTAGATTTCAATATGTCAGAGTTTGGGATTTTCAGGTCGTGTGACTGTGGGTTCACAGAACCGAGACTCACAAAAAAGAATGCAAAAACGAGTTGTGCAGGAAACCTTGAGCTCTCATCGACATGGAAGCCATTGTCATCATTCTTCGTAGCGGTCATTGCGATGAGTGACACTCTGTGTCGCAATACTCTTATTCGAGACCAAAAACCCTAAACCTTGAACCCTAAACCCTACACCCTGAACCCTACGCTTTGGCCAAAGATAACTCCCTAGAACCGCTAGCCTACGAAACCATGCCTGCCCGTACATTGGTAGAGGGCTCAGGGTTTAGGGGGTAGGCTAGCTTATTGGAGGGACCTCCAGTTGTTTTAGAGCCCTCCTCAGACACTCAAAACAACCTATAAAGAACTTATGGACCCATTTTTTAAACCGCAACTTGAGAAGGACTTCCAACAGGGTTCGGGGCTTCGGCCTCACAGGGTTTAGGGTTTAAGGTTTGGGGTATTATCAGGGGCTTTGGAGAGCTTTCAGGGCTTAGGCATGTCTTTCTCTGGCATGTGGAAAGGGCCTGCAACGTTTATTTCTTGAGGTATGGACATGGCGAACTTGGAGGCTTAATCGACCAAGTCACAAAACCCCAACACCCTAAATCCCAACACCGCACAACCCCAAACCCTCATTCCCAACAAAGCCCTAAATCACAAAACCCTAATTCCCAAACACCCCAAAATACCCTGTATCCAAACCCCCAAAGCCCTAAAAGACCAAAACAGAACCAACAAAACATCCAAAACCGTAAGTGCCCGAAGACCCTAAACCCAAAACCCTAGGCCCTATAAGCCCTAAACCCTAAACCCTAGGCCCGTCTGTTGACGCGTCGCCTCCTCCGCCCTGATCCGTCCACGGAGGGCCCGGGGAGGACACGTAGGAATGCACGGAACCGAAACCCAACGAAACTGACGAATCCTGGCGGAGGAATTTTGGAGCTTGTCTTTTTAAGGGGTTATGGGTTTAGGGTTTAAGGTTATAGGGTTTAAGGTTTAGGGTTTAAGGTTACAGGTTCTCTATAGGGTCTGTATAGGGTGTGCATCAAGTTTTTGTTTTTCTGCATCAAGTTTTTGCTTGAGGTTCATAAAGAGTTTTGGGTTTAGGGTGTTATAGGGGTCTAAGGTGCTGTCTCGCGTGTTCGAGTGTTTCTACAGGGGTTAAGAAGTACATTCTGTATAATCTTTGTGACTGTGAAAAGTTGGTTTTGTCTGTCACAACGATTTGGTACAGATTGTGCAAGGGTTCTGCAGAGGGTTCCCTTGCGCTTTTATCTTGGTTTCACACGGTTTATATAGTTCGATATAGGTTGTTTATGAGGGTGTGACGAAGGTTCGTGGTGTTTCAGAGGATGTTACACGGTTTTATCCGGATTTATGCCGGAAAACTATAGGGGTTAAGAAGGCATGGGTGCCATAGCGGCTTTGAGCATTTTCTCGTGCTGTCGCTTTATACATTGTGCAGGGGTTGTTTAAAGTTGCTGCAAGGGCTCTATAATATAAGGCCAAGGCAGCCACATGGGGTAGTTCTCTAAATTATATAGGGTCCCTTTAAGGTCCCCAACATAGTACGGCGCCCGTAAAAAAGGACCCCAAATTACTAAACGGGACCTTAATCTAGAGAACTACCCATGGGGTGTTTACAGAAGTTCAGGTGGAGGATTTCGGATTTCGGGTTCAAGATATGCGGTGTCTCGGCTCAGGCAGCTTCAGCTCTCTGCCCCACTGTGACATTCCTCGAATTTCGCACCACCTGCGACCTAAGTGGGGGTTTCCGAAAATAGGGGGGTACCTTAGTTTGGGGTCCTTAGAATAGGGATCCTACTATTTGGGGTACTATATTATGGTCCCCTATCTTTGGGAACCCCCAGGTGGTCTCATCTATCAACCTGTCCGCTCTGGCAGCCTGGGTTTCGGTGCGTTTGCTACTGCAGGCTGGTGGTAACAAACACTTCAGGGGGTTTAGGGTTTAGGGTTTAGGGTTTAGGGTCTAGGACTTCAGGCAGTACAGAGGCCCCAAGTTAAAAAAAACAAAAAAGAGTACCCGTACTTTAGGCCATGTAATCTACTATGCTTGAATAAATATAAAAAATAATTACCAAACCCTCTCCACGCCCTCTAAATAAAACCCTTCACCCTTCACCCTCAACCCTAAACGACTACACCCCCCCACAACTAAACCCTGAGCCTGTAGTTACCCCAAAATCTTCCAAATTCATTTAAAGCCCTACAATATGACCTACTTAAGCAGAGCAGAACAAACCAAAAAACAGCCTAAACCCAAAAACCCAAAACTCCAAAACCCCTAAACACCAAGACCCAAAACCCCTAACAACCCCTAAACACCAAAAACCCAAACCCCTAAACACCAAAACCCCAAACCCCTAAACACCAAAACCCCAAACCCCTAAAAACCCCTAAACACCAAACCCCCAAACCCCTAAACCCCAAACCCTAAACCCCAAACCCTAAACCGTGTATTAACCCCCAACCCCAAATCCTCAACCCTAAACTGTGTATTAACCCCCGACCCCAAACCCTAAACCCCTAAACACCAAACCCCCAAACCCCCAAACACCAGAACCCCAAACCCCTACCTTAAGAACCCAAAACCCACTTTTTGTAGGTTCTTATTACAAACCTGATACGGGATTTATAGGGACCCTACCAAAAAGTAGCTTTTGGGTTCTTAAGGTAGTCTCCAGTGTAGGATCCTACATGGTAACCCTCAAAGAGAGACGATGGGTGGAGACATTTGACCCAACCCTAAACCCTAAACCCTAAACCCTAAACCCTAAACCCTAAACCCTAAACCCTAAACCCTAAACCCTAAACCCTAAACCCTAAACCGAACCCACCAACTCAAACCCCTACCCTGAAGGGCCTCTGACTCGCTGTAGCTCTCATCGGATCTCGATCCTCGGGGCCGAAGACCGGACGAGCTTTGGATTCTTTAGACGGGGCTTCGGGTTTAGGGTTTAGGGTTTAGGGCTTAGGGTTTAGGGTTTAGGATTCTCTTCGAGTTCTCTAGAGTTTAGAGTTTAGGGTTTAGGGTTTGGGGTTCTCTTAGAATTCTCTAAGAGTTTAGGGATTGTGGGGTTTGCGGTGAGGCTCTGAGGGGTTTATGGTTTAGGGCTTTGGGTTTAGGGTCTGTAGGGTTCGGGGCCTAGGTTTTAGGGTCTAAAGGCCTTGGGGTTGAGGGTTTTGTCTTTCAAGCTCCTTTTCTCCAAGCTTTCGTAGGGTTTAGGGTTTCGAGCTCAGGGTTCTATAGTGTCGGATTTGGGACGAAGACTAGGGTTTAGGGCCCCGACAAAAACTCTTGACAAGGCGGGGCCAGCAAATATCGGGTTGCTGCCATGCAGTCGGCACGCTGTCTTTGGCCACGGTTGAAGTGTTGTCATTGAACAGGGTGCCCCACCCCCCAACCTCGGCGCCCTTGCCTGAGAGCTAAAAATCTGTTGAAGGCGCTCCGGATGCCAATGACAGAATACAGCTCCTGTGCGTCATTGCTGGTGCCACCAGACCGGGGGATTCCAGGCTCCGTCTGGCTGCGGGACACCTCAGACATTGGAAGAGCCTGTGGGCGTCCATCAGTCGAGTCTGCGGCCTAGGGCCGGATCATCCGGACGCCAGACCGAGACATCCACCTGACCAGTGCGAACCTTCTTCGTGGTCGTCACCGCTGTCTGGATTGAGCACCGTCTGCTTGGCTGACAGGAATTTCCGATGCTGCGTGCCTCCACCGCCCGCTCTGCATCAACATCGAAAGATGAAAGAGATTGTACAATTTTGTCCATCCATCAACCTGTAAATCCTACACCACTGAAATGGGCAGGGGGGTCCTCTGAAATGCTCCACCGACACCCCAGGCTTTAAACCGCCAAACCCTAAACGCCAAACCCGGCACCCTGAATCTACACCCTTAGACCTGCGGGAACTCCTAGACAACCAAGTAGAAACCTCACAAAAACCTCTTTCATTCTTGTAAAGTTCTCGTAAAAAAACATATATGGCCCTTGCAGAAGCCGTGCCAGACCCTGGCAAACCCGCGAACAGTATGACACTAGGCCGTAAACCCTAATATAGGGGCCTTAATAATGAGAATAGGGTTTGGGGGCCCATTATACTATAATTATACTAAGGAACCCCCAAAACACTGTAGGTAATTCTTAAGGCCCCCATACTAAAACTACACTGACAGCCGTTTCTCCAAGGCTCCCCAAGAGGCTGCCTGCCAATGTCCTTGCCATGTGGCACCTTGCTTTTCCAACAGTTGATAGGGCCCACAAAAGCCACGTAAGCAAAACTTAGCATACCGATATTCCACATAAACCCCCCTTATAATGAAGCTTAATCAGGTAGGGATATCCCTATAAAATGCTTATGCTTATGTCCTTGTGGGGTTCTTACGTTGGACAGGAGTCCGGAGGAAGGGTTTTGCAAGGGTCTTACAAGGCTCACGGTGTTTATAGGGGCTTTACAGCCAGGTTTGGGGCTTTGGGTTGGGCCCCTTGTTCAGGGTCAGAGGCCAACACTTAAGGCTCAGCATGGATAAACCCTAAACCCCAAAAACCATGAACCCTAAACCTCTCCTACACTATCTATAAAACAAAAAAAAATATATATATATATATATACATACACACACAAAAACAAACCCCAACGACTTTTCAGCCCATCGAGGTTCAAAGTTTGGGCCCCGAAATCCTGGCCATCGATGATTTGATTAGGGCTTTGGCCGCAACCCTGGGTATTGGGCGAAATCGGCCGTTGAGCCTCCCCCGTGCTGCCGATAAGGTGTTCTCGGGTTGGGTATTCCCTGCCAGCTTTGGTGGTCAAAACTGGGAATGTGAAGAACTTGATACTTTCTGCTTCATGCAGTGATCAGCACGTTCCTCAAAACCAAATGTTGTTATCATCAACAACAGTACCGATAAGATCATCAAATGATTCGTGTTCTAATCCTTTACCAACACGACCACCTTCGAAAATCCTCGAATCGACATGCGTGTCATCATCATGGTCATCGTCATCATGGTCCTCATCAGCATCACAATCACCATCACCCGTATCAACATCAACCTCGGAGCGGTGGAGGAAGGACGGCGCGCGCTGATGCTGTTAGTTATGGTGATGATTATGACGACCGTGATGATGATTATGATGATGATGGTGATGATGACCAGGATGATCATCATCAGGATGATGATGATGATGATGATGATGAAGACTATGATGATGATGAATGCTGATGCTGATGATGCTGGTGATGATGATGATGACGACGATGATGATGGTGAAGCCCCTGGGCCCGAACACTTTGTGAGTTGGTATCCGCCTCAGAAGAAGGCCTGCCCTAGTGAATGAGCGATGGGGATGCAGACCACCGGTCGCCCAGTGCAGAAAGCACGCCAAGCGATGACCGGACTCCGCGTGATCATGCTCGCCACGGTCCTCCCAGTGCTGCTGAGGCTTCACAACGGCGAGGCCCACCTCCACCACCCGGTGCCTACGTTGGACGAGTGGACAGACACACGCCGCCTGTTCACGACGCTGCACCTGCACCCAAGGAAGCTACCGGTGAGCCCTCTTCCTCCTCCGAAGGGGGAGACGAGAACGAGAACTCCGGAGACGATGCTGCCTCAGCTGCCTCCTACACCTGGTCTGAGACCAGTTTGGTCTTGGAGAATGAGGAGCTGGCATCGGCAGTGGAGCGACTGCATACCCTCTACCGCCTCGAGCTACAAGCAAGGAAAATCCCGGCCAAGTCACAGTCTGGCTGTCTTGGTGGTCTTCGGCGCAAGACAAATGGAGCCACATGGTTCCAGATTCAGGCAGAGGCGACAATGCGCCTCACGGGAGATCGCCTTCGGGAATGGCAAGTGTACGAGCACGAGCACACCCATGCAAGACGGAGAAGAAGGCGATCCCGCTCTTCCCGCAGGGCAGAGTAAAGGCCGGTGCCAATGCAGGCGCAGGCCACCGCAACCGCCACTATGCTGGGGCACCCCAGCAAATGCTGCGGCCAAGCCAGGACCCGCGAACCTTACCACCTCCCTGGGTATAGGCCCCTCTTCGGGTTTAGGCCCCTCCTCTAGGAAGAAGGTCACGTCACCTGACTTGGTTGCCTGCAAATGCATCAACTCACCAAAGTACATAGGCCCCTCCGGTCCCAAGTCCGGAGGCCGCAGGCAATCTCTGAGACCCTTAGGATATATCATCCTACATGCCGCGGCTGGGGTGAGGGTTTCTTCTGCTGTCGCGACAGAGGATGGACCTCAACGCTGGCTCCGCCAGCGGGGGGGGAAGCACAGCGACCCTGCGCAGACAGGCAGGATGGCCACCCCAATCCCTAATCCCCATCATGATATTCTCACTCACAATAATAAGAGAGCATATAAGAGGGCATGCCGCAGAGCCAACCAATCTGCACAGGAAGGCACCATGTATAAAGGCCGCTGGCACTCGCGGCAAGCCCTTGCCTCAATGTACCAGGCAAACAATCCCCCACTTCCAAAGCCTCTGCAGACATCGAGACGAGCCGCGCCGCGCACCGCCAGAGCTGCCAGGCCCGTGCCGCAAATTCGAGTATTCAGTTGGAATGCCGGTGGGCTGACTTCAGGGGTTTACCAAGAACTCTTAGCATGGCTGCAGGCCAACGGACCATGGGATGCGGCCATTCTACAAGGAAGGAGGTAGCCGACTACAATAGTGGGGATTGGTGCTGCATTCACACCTCGGGGCACCAGGCTACCGCCACCTCGCCGGACCGAAGTGCGGGAATCCTGATCATGCTCTCGAAGAAGGCCTTCGGGGACGTTGAGTTGGTAGCAGGACGTCTTTTACACGTCAGGGCCACCCATAAGCAGAGCATGATCCCTGTTGACTTCTTTGGTGTATATCAACATGTGCATAGGCCACAGCTGAGCGAAGCTAAGAACCGACTGCTGCGGGGCAGTGTCTTGACCAAGCTCAGACAGACCCTGGACGCATTGCCCGCAAGACATCAGGTTGACATTGCTGGAGATCTGAACTCCACGGTTAACCCAGCACATCCGCACATAGGCAAAGGCAGTGCCCAAGGCATTCTCCCAGCAAGCTGACCCGGAGCTGCACAACTTGATACTGGAACAGGACCTGTGTGTCCTGAATACCTTTCACGCCAGACCGGCGTACACGTATCGATCCACCACAACCCAGAGTCCAGAGCCAAATTGACTATGTAATGGTCAAAGCTAAGGATTCTGGTTCTAGGGCTAAACTCTCCGCCCCAATAAGTTCCTTTCCGGTTGCGGGTGATAGACTAGTCAACCACCTCCCCTTGCAGGCCCAGCTACCCGTGCGGCCATTCCAGCTGCAGCCGGAAGCTCGGCCCACGAGTCGGCCCCAGCTTGACATAGCAGCTCTGCAAAATGCTGCCACGGCGGACTCGGCCACTGCTGGAGCCGAGGCCCTGCAAAGTGCAGTGGCCGCCCGCATCGCCGATCTGCCCCAGCCGGAGCAGGTGCCACTTGATAGACTGCACAGTATCATAAACACCCTCCTCCTGGAGGAGGCAGCGAAGCTCTTCCCGCCGCAGCCTAAGCCGGACCACCGTGTCAGTGCCCACCCTGTCTTCAAAGCCAGTGCTGCACGCACGTGGCAATTCTACCATGCCATGCGTGCCACAACAGGCCTATCTCTGAGCAATGTGTGGAGCAAGTGGCGAGCCTATGCCAACTTCGTGCGAGAATCCAAGCTGCTTCGCAAACAGAGCCGCCAGCTAAAGACAGAATATCATCATGATAAGCTGCAACAGGCCGAAGAAGCTGCCAAGCGAGGAGATCAGCGAGGACTCTTTCAGGTTGTCAAGCAGCTTGCACCCAGGCGAGCTCGGGGGGTCTCACGCATCAAAGGTCCGGAAGGTCAGCTCATGTCGGCCTCGGAGGAACTTCAGGCGATTATCAAGTACAGCAAAAACACCTTTGTTGCTCTTCCTGACGAGGCCCCACTGCTCCCCCTGGGGGACGGACTGCACTTCAAGCTGGAGGACATCCAGCACCAGCTGGCTAGCCTCAACCCGCGCAAGGCGGTGCCACAACACATCGCTCCCTCTCCCATCTGGAGAATCTGCGCAGGCAGCATCAGCGCCCCGCTGACAACGGCATTGAATCTGCACTTCAAGGCGGGCCACAGTGCTGCACTTCAAGGGGACATGAAAGACACATATGTGACTTGGCTCCCGAAGCCTGCCAAAGCACCAACCGAAATCAGTGCCCTCAGACCAATAGGCCTCATGCCTCCATACCCCAAAATCCTGGCCGGGCTACTTGCTGACCAGATCCAGTGGTACATCGCCCCCATGCTTAACCCGTTCCCACAATACGCCTACAGCGCGGGAAGGGGATGCTCAGATGCTCTCTCCCGGGTGCACAGCCACTTCGAAGCTGTGGAAAGACTGCTACAGGATAACCACGAG